ATTCCTTGACATCTCAGGTGGGTCTGTGGAGCACAGATACACAGAGATGATGTTCCTAATTGTTGAAGTCCCAGGCTCATCTGTGAGGTTGCTGATTCTATAGTTAAGCCAAGGTTGGTGGTGGCAGGATCCATATGGCAGTCATGACACTGTACCAGACTGGACCGAGAACTGCGGGATCAAGGCCCTAGTACATAGAGCTGGGCCCCCAAATAGGTGCAAAGAATCAGAGTTGGTCTTTGGGAGATGGACCTATGGCTGTCAGCTCAAGTGGAGGATCAAGTTTGGGCACATGTCTTGTGAAGCCTGGCCCATCAGCTGTGTGGTGTCTGACTCTGGACAGGTATGTTGCCCTGTATCAGGAGGCACTGGAGCTGAATAGAGGTAGAGCCAGGTCTCCCTGGTGAAGCTGCTGCATCCATGTCCATGCTGGCGTTTACCTGGCTTTGCTAGTCAGTCTGTGGATCCAGGAAGAAGCATCTTCACCACTAAAGTACCCCATGCTGGTCAGGTTAAGTATGTAGAGCAGAGTCTGCCTAGGAATGTGTATGTGGCTGGCCAGACCTGAGGAGATAGGTCAGACATAGTGTGTATCAAAAGCCAGGAGATTGCTCAGTGAATAAAGATGCCTGCCACGAAGCCTAAATGACCCAAATTGGATCCCTAGGACCCACATGGTGGAAGGAGAGAGCTTCTTGATGCCCACAAGTTGTCCTCTCACCTCATGCATGCTCTGCGTTCATGCACACAAAAATGTAAAAAAAAATTTTTTAGATAGAAAAGCATAGTCACAGCCGGGCATGGTGATACATACCTATAACCCTAGCACTCAGGAGACCGAGGCAGAAGGATCAGTATTTGAGGCTGGCTTGGGCGACACAGTACAATTTTGTTACACCAAAGAATGAAAGGAAGGGAACAAAACAATGCACAGTTGTAAAAAAACACATCTAGGACTCCTGGAAGTCAGAATAGGTGGAATGCCCTGAGCAGACCCACTGCTTGTCCTCAGTTAGGCAAAACCTAGGGCTGTTGCAGGGGCCAAGGAGTCTGTGACCAGTCCAGAGTGTGGTCCAACCTCGTTTGCTGGCATATGGTCCAAGATGCCCTAAGGATAGTATAATACTTGATTAGGTAAAGTCAAGTCTGGCAGACAGGGAGGTGAGGCACAGAACACTGAACTATATAAGGTTTGGTGTGAAGGTCCTATCTGCAGATGTGAGGGCTCAGAGCCTGGTCAGACCCCTGCTTGGCATCACTGAGCTCCCCCTGAAGTAAAATCTGACCTGGTTTCTCAGCCAAGGTCAGAGGCTGGACCTGTCAAGTCTGAGGTCTGCTGACTACCCACAAGTCCTGTTCTAAAACTGAATCTATTAGGCAAAGTCTTAGAGGCTGTGTCAAGCATGGGGGTGCAAGGGGACTGTCCATGCTGTAAAGCTGCTCCCAAACCTGGGTCCTTCCAGATGAAGGACCCCAACATTCATTATTACCCAAGCCAAGGGGACCTTGGGCCATACTTGTCTTGTTCTCCCCTTTTGATTGAACTCCCTGAGTCAGCCTTCTGTACTCCCTTGTCAAGGGTATCCTCTTGAGGTAACCTCGGAGTTTCCTTAGTGGTTTGCGTCTCCATTTGCGCCTCACTCCCAGACTACAGTTCTCCAGCCTTGGCCCACAGCTTCCCTCGTCTAACCCTCAAAGTCACCTTGCAGGTTGTGCTGTGCTCCCCACTGCCTGTTTTCACAGGCTTTGAGAGCTGAGTTTTTTTAATGCCTCAAGGCATCCATTGGATACATGGTCTGGGACCCTCCTTTGCACCTAGTGGGCATCACCCCAGGGAGAATGGAAAGGAGTTGTTGGAGAGGAATTGTTCATATCATTTCCTGTGAGGCTTAGTTCTCTGGCTGTTGTGAAAGGCTGCTGTTGCCACAGGACCTTTACATAAGCTATTCTGGCTGCTGGGATGCTTCTCTGGGTAATACTTGGTTTTTTAGATCTAGACTTCAGCACCCTGCAGATTCTGTTTATAACTCTTCTCAACATCATACTCTGGTTCTGTCAGTGTCTGAGGAGACTGGATAAGTACAGTTATGAGACTCTGGGCCCATCAGTGTCTGAGGAGCCAGGGTATGTGCCAGTACAGGCTTAGGGTCTGTCAGTGAGGAGACAGTAGGTGCGGGTACGAGAATCTGGGTCTGTCAGTATCTAAAGAGCCAGGGTAGGCCACAGGTACAAAGCTCTGGGTCCATCACTGCCTGAGGAGACAAGGTAGGTACATATATAAAGCTAAGGGTCTGTCAGTGAGGAGACAGGGTAGGTGCAGGTATGAGGCTCTGGATCTAACACTGTCCGAGGAGACAGGGTAAGTGCAGGTATGAGGCTCTGGTCTGAGTGTCTGAGGAGACAGGGTAGGTGCAGGTATGAGGCTCTGGGTCTGTCTGTCTGAGGAGACAGGGTAGGTGCAGGTATGAGGCTCTGGTCTGTCAGTGTTTGAGGAGACAGGGTAGGTGCAGGTATGAGGCTCTGGGTCTGTCAGTGTCTGAGGAGACAGGGTAGGTGCAGGTATGAGGCTCTGGGTCTGTCTATCTGAGGAGACAGGGTAGGTACAGGTATGAGGCTCTGGGTCTGTCTGTCTGAGGAGACAGGGTAGGTGCAGGGATGAGGCTCTGGGTCTGTCTATCTGAGGAGACAGGGTAGGTACAGGTATGAGGCTCTGGGTCTGTCTGTCTGAGGAGACAGGGTAGGTGCAGGGATGAGGCTCTGGGTCTGTCTATCTGAGGAGACAGGGTAGGTACAGGTATGAGGCTCTGGGTCTGTCTGTCTGAGGAGACAGGGTAGGTGCAGGGATGAGGCTCTGGGTCTGTCTATCTGAGGAGACAGGGTAGGTACAGGTATGAGGCTCTGGGTCTGTCTGTCTGAGGAGACAGGGTAGGTGCAGGGATGAGGCTCTGGGTCTGTCTATCTGAGGAGACAGGGTAGGTACAGGTATGAGGCTCTGGGTCTGTCTGTCTGAGGAGACAGGGTAGGTGCAGGGATGAGGCTCTGGGTCTGTCTATCTGAGGAGACAGGGTAGGTACAGGTATGAGGCTCTGGGTCTGTCTGTCTGAGGAGACAGGGTAGGTGCAGGGATGAGGCTCTGGGTCTGTCTATCTGAGGAGACAGGGTAGGTACAGGTATGAGGCTCTGGGTCTGTCTGTCTGAGGAGACAGGGTAGGTGCAGGGATGAGGCTCTGGGTCTGTCTATCTGAGGAGACAGGGTAGGTACAGGTATGAGGCTCTGGGTCTGTCTGTCTGAGGAGACAGGGTAGGTGCAGGGATGAGGCTCTGGGTCTGTCTATCTGAGGAGACAGGGTAGGTACAGGTATGAGGCTCTGGGTCTGTCTGTCTGAGGAGACAGGGTAGGTGCAGGGATGAGGCTCTGGGTCTGTCTATCTGAGGAGACAGGGTAGGTACAGGTATGAGGCTCTGGGTCTGTCTGTCTGAGGAGACAGGGTAGGTGCAGGGATGAGGCTCTGGGTCTGTCTATCTGAGGAGACAGGGTAGGTACAGGTATGAGGCTCTGGGTCTGTCTGTCTGAGGAGACAGGGTAGGTGCAGGGATGAGGCTCTGGGTCTGTCTATCTGAGGAGACAGGGTAGGTACAGGTATGAGGCTCTGGGTCTGTCTGTCTGAGGAGACAGGGTAGGTGCAGGGATGAGGCTCTGGGTCTGTCTATCTGAGGAGACAGGGTAGGTACAGGTATGAGGCTCTGGGTCTGTCTGTCTGAGGAGACAGGGTAGGTGCAGGGATGAGGCTCTGGGTCTGTCTATCTGAGGAGACAGGGTAGGTACAGGTATGAGGCTCTGGGTCTGTCTGTCTGAGGAGACAGGGTAGGTGCAGGGATGAGGCTCTGGGTCTGTCTATCTGAGGAGACAGGGTAGGTACAGGTATGAGGCTCTGGGTCTGTCTGTCTGAGGAGACAGGGTAGGTGCAGGGATGAGGCTCTGGGTCTGTCTATCTGAGGAGACAGGGTAGGTACAGGTATGAGGCTCTGGGTCTGTCTGTCTGAGGAGACAGGGTAGGTGCAGGTATGAGGCTCTGGGTCTGTCTATCTGAGGAGACAGGGTAGGTACAGGTATGAGGCTCTGGGTCTGTCTGTCTGAGGAGACAGGGTAGGTGCAGGTATGAGGCTCTGGGTCTGTCTATCTGAGGAGACAGGGTAGGTACAGGTATGAGGCTCTGGGTCTGTGAGTGTCTGAGGAGACAGGGTAGGTGCAGGTATGAGGCTCTGGGTCTGTCTATCTGAGGAGACAAGGTAAGCACAGGTATGAGGCGGCTCTGGGTCTGCCAATTTCTGAGGAGATCAGGCCTATGTCAGTGTCAGAACAGGTAAGTTAGGCAGAGGTAGGAGTACTTGGTCTGCCAGTATCAGGAGGTGAGATTTGGCACAGGTGTGAAGCACTAAATCCGTCAGGGTCTGTGGCAGTAAGGTAGGCACAGGTATGAGCACTTGGGCTGTCAGCGTCTGAGGAGGTGGGTTGGAAACAGGTATGAGGCTGTATGTCTGTTAGTGTCAGAGGCAGCAGGTTAAGCACAAATAGGGAGCTTTGTCAACACTGAGGAAGTAGGGGCTGGGTGTCAAGCTCTGGGGCTGTCAGTAATGATGAGGTAGGTTAAACACAGTTGTGAGGCCCTGGTTCTTTCAACACCGAGGAGGCAAAGGCTGGCACCGCCGTAAGGCTTTGTGTCCGTCAGTTCGAGGCCTCGGGTCTGCCAGGAAGACAAGACCAGCCATGGTAACATGTTCAGTTGAGTGTGTGGCTCTGGTCAGTCAGCATGTAGTCTGCTTTGCTGGTCAGCTCAGAGTCGCTGCTGCCAGGCCTGCTGTCTGTCTGCAGAGGTGGGTTGGGTCGAGCCCTCCAAGCTGCACCTGTGGAAGAGCAGCTTCCCGAGGGCCAGGTGTGGCAGGAGGGAGGGGGGCGGGGTATGCCAGCCCTCCTGCAGTGCCTTTTCCTTCTCTCCTAGTGGGTAGGTGGACGCTACTCCTTGTGGTCAGCCATCGGACTTTCTATCGCCCTACACGTGGGTGAGTGTTTCTGATTCTTACAGCCCCCTCCTTTCTCACCTGTTGGGAAGTTTGAGGTTGGGGGTGTGTCCTGAGTACCTCGCTTACCCCGCAGGCTGCTGGCCTCTCTGCTCCTGGCTAGAAACATGTTCTTAGCTCTGATAGGAAGACTCGGGGTTTGTTTGTGCTCAGGGCCAGGTGTGATGGCAGAGGCTTTCTGCAGGCCAGCTTCTGCCAGGTCCTTCCTGGCTTCACATCCAGTCTTTCCTAGAAAAAACTGTCCACTCCCAGGAGGACACAGGGTATGGCCATTTTTGTTGATGCTGCTTTTTTCTTGCAGGTTTTGACCACTTCGAGCAGCTGCTCTCAGGAGCTCACTGGATGGTGAGTACTGAGTGCCAGAGACTGCGTGGGTCCAGCTTTTTCCTTCCTCTCTCTCCTTCCCTTTTCTCCCTGACAGCTGCTCAATTCCTGTCCTGTTGTCTTTTTAGGACCAGCACTTCCGCAAAACGCCCCTGGAGAAGAATGCCCCTGTCCTGCTGGCTCTGCTTGGAGTCTGGTATATCAACTGCTTTGGGTGCGAGACTCACGCCTTGCTGCCCTATGACCAGTACCTGCACCGTTTTGCTGCCTATTTCCAACAGGTACCAGCTGCTAGGCCAGACTTGAGGATGGCAGGACCCTGTAGAACCTGGGAGGTTCAGTGGCTTAGGTTGCAGCTCCTGTTGCCCTTGGGCATGGCCACAGCCCAACCCTGTTCCAGGTTTCAGTACATCTTGGTAACCAAGACTATTCTATCCACGTGTCAGCTGAGTTTCGTCACTGTGCAAGGACATGACTGGTTAACGTGGTGCTCTGGCCATACTTGTCCTGCATTGGCTGTGGGTGTGTGTCTCAGCTGGGGTCACTTCCTTTTTGGCTATCACTTGTGGCTTGCTCTAGGGTGATGCAGAGCCAAGATCCCCATGGCCTGTACTACCTTATTCATTCCAGAAAATGAAGTTCATGCCCTGTCTGTGTTGCCTCTTAAGCTACACAGGGTGACCTCCTCATTCCCTTTGGTGTGGTCCGAGCCTTTGGAGACAAAGTAGTCTCTCTTCTACTCAGATTCTGTTCTGTAAAGCCCTTCTGTACCTGCTCCTGCTTGTTCAGTGCAGACCAGGACTATCCTGTAGGCCTTGGGCTCCCTGGGGCAGATTGAGCAAACTTTGACCCATACCTGAGGGTGACTCCTGCCCCTGAAGGAGGCCTGAGGTTCCCAGATGCCAGCTGCCTGGGTCAGGGTGGGATGACCAGGCCTAAGTGGGTACAAGGCCCAGCTTCTAGCCAGGGTGACATCCCTCAGAGACTACACTCTGGACCCCATCCTGCCCCTCTTAAAAGATTAGTTGAAGATTTTGTGACCTATTTGGGCATGTGTTGTTTTCTGGGGGTTTTTATTATTGTTGCATGTGTGGGTTTTTTTAAGATTTATTTATGTGTATGCATGCATATCTGCATGTATGCCAAGTGTGTGCAGATGTCTGAAGAAGGTGTTAGATCCTCTGGAACCGAAGTTACAGGCAGTGGTTTAGATCCTCTGGAAGAGCAGCAAATGCTCTTAACTGCTGAGCCATCTCTCTAGCCCCTTCTGGCCCTTTTCCCTGTGGACCAGGCTGGCCTCAATCTCACAGAGATCTACCTGCCTCTGCCTCCCAACTGCTGTGATTAAAGGCATGTGCCACCATACCTGACCTTGCAAATTTTGTTTTTCAAGAAGCCTTCTTCCCACCTCCAGAGCAATCTTCTACAGGGGAACATGGGTCCTTCTGCAGAGTAGTTTAAAAAAGCTCAGGGGCCTGTGGACACACATTTACGCACTCCCCACATAGGAAAGGGGCATCCCAGGAAGGGCCTGGGCACAGTACATGAACTGACAAACTTACAGGAAGAGGGCTGTTTCCCTCCTTGTTCCAGGGTGACATGGAGTCCAATGGGAAATACATCACCAAGTCCGGTGTCCGTGTGGACCACCAAACGGGCCCAATTGTGTGGGGAGAGCCAGGGACCAATGGCCAGCATGCATTCTACCAGCTCATCCACCAAGGTAGGGTGTATACAACCTGAGCAGGGGTGCTGGGGAGGATGAAGACCTCCCACTCCGGGCAGTGCTTTCCTTTAGGCCACATGGGTGGCTCCCGTGGGTTGGGGTTGTGTGGATGACCATTGTGCCCTTCACAGGTACCAAGATGATACCTTGTGACTTCCTCATCCCTGTTCAGACCCAGCACCCTATACGGAAAGGTTTGCATCACAAGGTAAGACCCCTATGTGGACCCTCCTCAATGCTTCTCAGGATCAGGTACGCCTAGGTGCCCCCACCCAAAGCTTTGCTCTGCTCAGTAGTTATTCTAGTTTCTGTCATGGCAGGTGACCAGAAAGTTAGTGCCTTAAAACAGCACCATCTTTATCCCAGCACTCAGGAGGCAGAGGCATGCGGGTTTCTGGGAGTACCATGCCAACCAGTGTTGTATAAAAACAAAACAAAGCACTATCTATTGTCTCAGTTTCCAAAGTTAGAAGTCTAGCAGTCCCTGGTCGGGCCCCTGCCTAGTAAAGATTCATGGGCTATGAACGTGTCAACCAGACTACATTCTTCTCTGGGAGATAAGAAATGCTTGTTGGGTTTCTGGCAGAAAGCACTTGCCTGTGGAGGATCAAGGTATTGGTCTTCACTGGCGGCAAGGAAGGGTCTTTTTCATAGCCTGAGCTAGCTTCAAATTTGTGATCCTTCTGCTTCAGCTTCCGGAGTTCAGGGATTATAGGCATGTGTCACCACGCTCAGCTTAGGGGGTTGAATTCTGCATCTTCCTTCTCTGTAATTCTGTGATCCAGAGCTTTTGGCTTGATTCAGTTAGAAAAGAAGTGATGCCTCTCCCCCGCTTCAGGTTTCAAAAGATAAATGTTGACCGTCATTAGCAGAACCCTGGCAAGGACTACATACATTTCCTTTAGGAAGCTTGGCATGGTGGCACACACCTGTAATCCCAGCTATTCAAGAGAGTGAGGCAGGAAACTTACCAATTCAGGGCCAACCTGTGTAGCTGAGCAAGAAGCTATCTCAAGATCTCAAAAAGATAGGCATGTAGCTCAATGGTAAGGCACTTACCCAGTATGCAGAGGCCCTGGGTTTCATTCCCAGTAATACCTCTCTTAATAGAAGAAACAGTTCGGCTTGTTACCTACCCTCTATTGTCGTCAGGTGTGCCCTCGGGTCCTCCTTTACTCTGAGTGAATGGACCGTGCTGGGACTGACCCCACCTGAGAAGTGCTGGGTCGTGGCAGCATCCCTCTGCTGTCCCTCTGCAGTATCTGCTAGTGTAACTTGGTATCTCTTGTCAGATCCTCCTGGCCAACTTCCTAGCCCAGACTGAGGCCCTGATGAAGGGGAAAACAGCCGAGGAGGCCCGGAAGGAGCTCCAGGCTGCTGGAAAGAGCCCAGAGGATCTTGAGAAACTTTTGCCACACAAGGTCAGCTCTGCGACATCAGCTTTGGGGCTGCATGCAGGAAATGAAGGGATGAAATTGAAGGGCCAAGGCACAGGCATGGCTCCTGGTATGGCTGGATCGTCTTGTACAGTGTGAGGGTCTGTCTAAACAGACTCAAATATCCTATCCTCAGGCAGGGTGTCCTTCCTCTCTAACAGCTTGGGGATCAGAATTAACCTGGGAATAATTTTGTTTCCTGAAGGTCTTTGAAGGAAATCGCCCAACCAACTCTATTGTGTTCACTAAGCTCACACCATTCATACTTGGAGCCTTGATTGGTAAGTGGGTAGTGGGAGGGACTAGCTTGGGGGTCAGTTGGACAGGGCATGGGGGACCCTAACAGGCACTGTCTGCCACCTCTACAGCCCTCTACGAGCACAAGATCTTCGTTCAGGGCGTCATCTGGGACATCAACAGCTTCGACCAGTGGGGGTGAGTAGCTGGCAAGGAAAGGTGAGGGTGTCTGGGCTGACTGAGAGTCTCACTAATTGTGCCGGCGCCTTCTGCTCATCCCCTTCTTCTACCCTTCCTGGCAGAGTGGAGCTGGGGAAGCAGCTGGCTAAGAAAATCGAGCCTGAGCTTGAGGGCAGCGCTGCAGTGACCTCCCATGATTCTTCCACCAATGGGCTGATCAGCTTCATCAAGCAACAACGGGATGCCAAAGCAGAATAAGCTTCGCTACAGTCCCTATCGATGGGTCCTCCTTGACCCTCTTCACTGGTCTGCACTGCATGGTCCTGCCCCTTCCTGCCCAGAACATCGTCCAGTCATGGGCTTGGACCACAAGCCTTTTGGGAACTGATCTGGAATTGGCACCCACCCCTTCCATGTGTGCACCCTTCCTGTGTGACAACCAGCTGACGTGCTTCGGTGCATCTGACCTAAGCTCACATGGTTTGCATCCAGCTAGAATAAAGATGCCACAGAGGAGGCATGGCTCAGCTTCTTACTGCTTCCTGAGGTGGCACTTGACAGGGTTGGTGTCCAGTGTTGGTGTTCCCTGGTTGCCCTTGAGTAAGTGCTGAGCAGCTCCAGAGCAGAGGGTGGTTCCTTAAGAAACAGGGACAGAGAACTGCAAAACAGTTATGGTCAGGAGGGCAGCTTAGCCCCCAATCAGATTCCTTCTCACCGCCTTCCCTCCTCATTGCAAAACTTGCCTGCTTCTGTTTGCTTTGAGACAGGGTCTCACTATCTAGCCCTGGCAGGCCTGGAACTTGCTGTATAGCCCAGGCTGGATTCAAATACAGATCCACCTGCCTCTGCCTCCAGAGTTTTGGGATTAAAGGTCTGTGCCACCATGTCTGGGTTTTTATTTTTTTGTTTTTAATTACATTTATTTATGTATTTATTTTGTGGGAGGTCACTTTAAAGAGTCACTTTTCTTTGTGTTTTGAGACAGGGTCTCCCTGTAGCCCCAGCTGGCCTGAAATTCTCTCTGTAGACCAAGCTGGCCTTGAACTCAGAGATCCACCTGCCTCTGTCTCCTTAGTACTGGAATTAAAGGCACGTGCCACCATAACTGGGCCCTATTAGCTAGTTTTTAAAACCACAGGTTACATTATTTTAGGTAATTCTTGGCCAACAACATGAAGGGTTGTCACCGTATTCTGGCCAGATGCTTAGGTAATTCTTCTCTTTTATCTTTTTTTTTTTTTTTTTAATATTATATATATATATGAATGGTTTTTGCATGCATGTAAGTACACCTGTGTCATGCAGTACCCACAGAGGCCAGAAGAGGACATCAGATCCTTTGGAACTGGAGTTACAGATGGCTATTAGCTGACATGTGGGTACTAGGAACTGAACCTGGGTCATCTGCAAGAACAGCCAATGCTTTTAACCACTGAGCCATCTCTCCAGCCCCTCCTCCCCGTTATCTTCTTAAAATAATAAATAGTATTTTGGGGGTTGGGCTATAGCTCATTTAATAAGAGTGCTTGCCTAGTATGCATGAGGCCCTGGATTTGATTCCCTGGCATCACATAAACCAGGTGTGCTGCATACCTGTCATCCTAGCACTCAGCACTTTAGAGTCAGAAGGATTAGGAGTTCAAGGTTATCCTTGGCTACATAAAAGAGTTCCAAGTCAACCTGGGCTTTAGAGTCAAAAGATATGAAGTGGCAGGGACCCTGACTGACACCAGTTTGGCTTCATATGAGGGACTTCATCAAGACCATGTGCTCTAGGCCACCTGCCAGATCCTGTGTCTTCCTGTGTTAGGAGAAACCACATCAGTTATCACATATCCTTTGGCTATTCAGAAGTCAAGAAATACTACTTGGAGCTGGGCGTAGTGGCGCATGCCTTTAATCCCAGCACTCGGGAGGCAGATGCAGGTGGATCTCTGTGAGTTCAAGGCCAGCCTGGTCTGCAAAGTGAGTTCCAGGACAGCTGGGGCTACAGAGAGACCCTGTCTCAAAAAGACAAAAAAAAAACTTGGGAACGATAATATAGCTGGGTGTCAGTAATGTCACCACTGTGTCCTGGGCATCGGATGTCTGAGCAGATGAGTTTTCAGTGTGAGGCTGAGCAAGCAGTCTTCAACATCATTCTGTACTTCCTTCAGTGCTAATTGTGGGCCAGTGAGGTGGCTCCGTGGATAAAAACACTGCACAAGCCTGCTCATCTGGGTTGAGCCATGGAACCCATGGAAGGAGAGAACTGACTCCACACTCTGACCTTCACATAATTATAAAATGTAAATTGTATCACAAGGCCAGCCTGGGCTGATGAGCAAGTTCCAGGTTTGCCTGGCTAAACAGGGAAAATTATCTCAAAACAAGGGGAGGTATAAGTGGTAGAGGGGGTCAGATAGAGCTCAATGAAGCTTGCATTCAGTCTCCAACACACAGGCACTATTAGGAGGCGATATTCAGGAGAGGCCAGCAACTGTAGGAGGTGGTCTTGGCCTTATGTTTGAATTGCAACATCTAAAGGCTCTTGTGTTAAAGGCTTGGTTCCCAGCAGGTGGCGCTATTGGGAGGTGGTAGAAAACCAGGAGGTGAGGACTTTCTGGAGAAGAACGTCTTGGGGTGACTGAAGAGAAGATTTTGTTGCTAGCTCTTCGTTCTCTGCTTCCTGCTTGCAGGTGCTGTGGAAGGTGTCTTTTCTCTGACACCCTCCACCACCAGCATGTTCTCAGCTGTTCTAGTTTGATTTCTGTTGCTCTGATAAAACAGTGACCAAAAGCAATAAGGTTACAGTCCATGATTGAGGGAAGTCAGGGCAGGAACCAGGGAGGAATGCAGCTTGCTGCCCTGCTCACTTGACTCATGCTTTAGATTTTTTTTTTTTTTGAGACGGGGTCTCCCTGTAGCCCCAGCAGGCCTGGAACCCACTATGTAGACCTCGCTGGCCTTGAATTCAGAGATCCACCTGTCTCTGCCTCCCACGTACTGAGATTATAGCTTTTTTTTTTTAAGATTTATTTTTATTATTTTTAATTATGTGTGAGTATGAGTGCAGGTACCTGTAGAATCCAGGATGTGTTGGATCCCTGGAGCTGTAGTTACAGGTAGTTGCTGGTTGCCTGATGTGGATGCCAGGAACTGAGCTTGGGTCCGCTACAAGAGCAGTAAGTGCTCTTAACCAATGAGCAGTAAGTCATCTTTCTAAGCCCTTAGATAGCTTTTGTTTTGTTTTGTTTGAGCAGGGTCTCCTTATAGCCCCCAGCTAGCTTGGAACTGTCCATGTAGACCAGGCTGATCTTGATCTCACAGAGATCCACCAACCTGCCTCTGCCTCCCAAGAGCTGGGATTAAAGGGATGCACTACCATGACTGGCACTAGAATTAAAAAAAAAAAAAATTATGTGTATGTATTGCCTGCATGTGTGTAAGTGCACCCATATCATGCAGTGCCCTCAGAGGTCAGAAAAGGGCATTGGATCCCTTGGAACTGGAGTTATGGACAGTTGTTAGCTACCATGTGGGGGGCTGGGAATCGAATCTGGGTCTTTTGCAAGAGTAGCCAGTGCTCTTAACCACTGAGCAATCTGTCCAGCCCCACATTTTTTTTTTATACATCCCAGGACCACCTGCTTGAGGAATAGTGCTCTCCATAGCTGGCTGGGCCCTCCTATATAAATTAATAATGAAGACAGTCCCTCTCAGACATGCCCACTGACCAACCTCATGTAAACAGTTCCTTGATTTTTTCGGATGACTCTAGGCTGTCAAGTTAACAAGCTAACTAGGACATCAGCCCACCATGGGCAGAAACCATAAGCCAAAATCTTTCCTCCATTAAGTTATTTTTTCATAGTGATTGATAAACACTGGGTTAGCAAAATAAGAATTTTGAAAACTACTTTAAAAAAAAATTACTTTGCTTGGTGTGGTGGTGCACGCCTTTAATCCCAGCACTTGGGAGGCAGAAGCAGGTGGATCTCTGAGTTCAAGGTCAGCCTGGTCTACATAGTTCCAGGGCAGCTGAGGCTGCAGGAAGACCTTGTCTCAAGAAGACAATATATATATATATATTTCCATGTGTATGAGTGCATGTATGTAAGTGTACACCTGTGTCATTCAATGTCCGTGGAGGTCAGAAGATGGTGTCAGATCCCTGGAACTGGAGTTATGGACGGTTGTTAGCCACTTATGGGTACTGAGAACCAAACCCCAGTCCTCTGGAAGAGCAGCCAATACTCTTAACCACTGAGCCATCTCTCCAGCCCAATGAAGCCTACTTGTAAGAATTTTAAAACACATCTTGGGAAATACTAGCTGAAATAAAACATCTGTGAAGTCGTCCAAATTCACTGGTTAGACCTTAAGTGAACGTGGTCGGAATTCACAGAGCCTTTTAAAGCTTTGGCAGAATGAAAAAGAACCGAGGCAAGGGACTGGTTTCATTTCTCAACTGATGATGCCTACATTTTTCATTTTTAAACCCTTTCTGCAGGACTACTTCATAGAAGATGTGTAATTCTATCGCAGGACATCAGACGGCACATAAAATCTGAAGTTTCTGGGATTCCCAGCTTAGGGCCCAGGCAGAGATCTGAGAAGCAGCAGAACCGGGTCAGAGGCTTTAAAGCAAACCACCAGAACCGGTCTGGTAGAGGGGCCTGGTGGTGTAAGCAGAGCGCTCAGCCTCTCGGCCACCGTAGCTGCTGTGATCACGTGGGAGCCTGATTGTCATGGCGGCGGCCGTCCGGAAGCCGGTGCTGCTTGGACTTCGGGACGCGGCGGTGCCGGGCCGTCCCACGGGGCCCGGAGCGTGGACCGCGAGTAAGCTGGGCGGCCTCCCGGTGAGCACGGCCGCGGGTGGAGGCCGGGGGTTCGGGGGGAGAGGGACGAGGCCCGGTAGGCGCGGGGGTCTGACTCCGCTCCCGCCCTCAGGACGCCCTGCCCGGCGTGGCGGCGCCTAGGCCGCGGTGTGCGCGCTGTGCGCAGCCGCTCGCGCTCGTCGTGCAGGTGTACTGCCCGCTGGAGGGCTCCGCGTTCCACCGGCTTCTGCACGTATTCGCTTGCGCCCACTCGGGCTGCAGCGACGGCGGGACAAGCAGGTAGGCTGGGACGGCCCGGAGCCGGCTAGCTAGGCTTGACGGCGGGAGCGGAGCCGGGGCTGGGAGTCGGGGCTGGAGCCCTCACGGCCATCTGTCTTCGCCCTGAAGGTGGAAAGTGTTCCGCTCCCAGTGTCTGCCAGTGCTAGAGAAAGAGGCTCGGGATGCGCAGGTAACGCGGTTGTACCCGGCATGGAGGAGTGTTCTGCAATTTGAGCATCGTTTTCAGAACGTCATTTTACTTTGTTCTTCAGTTAGTCCCACCTCCTCCTCCTCATTCCTCCCTCCCTTCTCTCTCTTTCCTCCCTCTCTTCTCTGTTCCCTCCTCTGTCTGCCTATAGGGTCACCACACCTGATTTAAGACAAAATTTTAAAACCACGTTCTTTAAACTTCAATGGAATGAATTTTACTCTTTTAGAACCATAGCATTCTATTTTTTTTTTTTTTTTTTTTTTTTTTTAGACAAGGTCTCCCTGTAGCCCCAGCTGTCCTGGAACTCACTATGTAGACCAGGCTGGCCTTGAACTCACAGAGATCCGCCTGCCTCAGTCTCCCGAGTGCTGGGACTACAGGCGTGCATCACCACGCCCAGTGCATTCTATTTTCTTAATGTCTTGTGACTTCTAGTTTTCACTTCAGATACATAGTTTACTGATTATCTTATTTGGAAAAATAGAGGGGGTGAAGTCCAGCAAAGGCAATACAGTCGAGCACAGACCTGTAATCCCAGCTACTCAGAAGCCTAAGGCAGAAATATCCCAAGTTCAAGGCCTGGCTAAGCTACAGAGTGAGTTCAAAGCTTTAGCTGCTTAGTGACCTGACTCAAAAAGTAAAAGTTGATGGACTGGGGAAAAGGCTCAGGGGGTGAAGGTGCTTGCTGCCAAACCTGACAACCTGAGTTCCATCCCTGGCACCTACCTACATGGTGGAAGGAAAGAACAGACTTCGGCAAGTTGTCTCTTACCTCCACACACATGCATACACACACAATGAATTTCAAAATCGGTCTGGTGTGGTGGAGCACGCCCTTGATCCCAGCACTTGGGAGACAGAGGCAGGCAGATCCCTGTGAGTTCAAGGCCAGCCTGGTCTACATAGGGAGTTCCAGGACAGCTGGGGCTACAGGGAGACCCTGTCTCAAAAAGACCCCCCCCCAAAAAAATTTCAAAATCTCAATGTGGCGGTGCAGACCTGTAATCCAATACTCAGGAGACAGAGGCAGGAGGAGAAACATAAGATTGGAATTAGCTTGGACTACACAGTGAAACCTTGTCTCAAAAAACTAAAAACAAGGCTGGGCATGGTGGCACACGCTTTTAATCCCAGCACTTGGGAGGCAGAGGCAGGTGGATCTCTGTGAGTTCAAGGCCAGCCTGGTCTACATAGTGAGTTCCAGGACAGCTGAGGCTACAGGGAGACCCTGTCTCAAAAAGAAAAACAACAACAACAACAAAAAAAAAACTAAAAACAAAAATTAGAAAGAGGGCTAAGGATAGAGCTCAGTGTAGGAATTGCTTGCTTACAATTCCTGAGGCCCTGGATTCAGTTCCTAGCACAGAAGTTTTAAAAAAAAAAAAAACTGAGCTAAGTACATTGGCCCACACCTGTAATTCCAGCAGCTGGGAGGCTGAAGCAGGAGGAGCAATACAAGTTTGAAGCCAGCCTGGTTTATAGTGAATTAAATGCCATCTTAGAGTACAGTGAGACCCTTTGTTTAAAAGACTTTACTGGTGAAACACTCCTTTAGTCCCAGCACTCAGGAGGCAGAGGCAGGTGGATCTCTGTGAGGTCAAAGCCAGCCTGGTCTACATAGTGAGTTCCAGGTCAGGTGGGGTAAAAGAAACCGTGTCTCAAAAAGACCAAAAAACAAAAAGACTACTGGGGCTGGAGAGATGGCTCAGCAGTTAAGAGCACTGGCAACCCAGGTTGTTTCTAACACCCATATAGTTGACACAACAGCCTGTAACACCAACCAGTTCTAGGGGAATCCAACACCATCTTCTGGCCTCCCTGAATACCAAGGATACATGTGGTACACATATATACATACAGGCAAAACACTCATACACATGAAATAAAATAAATCTTAAAAAAAAAAGTAGATAAGCGATCTTGGCCCCCTCCCCCAAAAAAACAGTGACAGAGGAGATCTTGAGGAGGATTCCCCAAATCAACCTCTGTCTTCCACACACGCACACACATTTCTCCCAAACACATGTGAACACACACGAACACATGAAAAGAAGAAAAAAGACTAGTAAGCACAAGGCCAGGGATTCAGATCTTCAGAGGAGTCAGTCTGGGGAGTTGGTAAGTGAAGAACAAATTCAGCCCCTCTTTGTCTCTAAATTTCTCTTTTATCCATACACAAAATGTTTAATATGTGCCAGGCATAGTACAGGAAATAAAAAGAAATATGATGCTCTTGGCCCTTGTTTTCAGGGTTCAATTGCAGATGGTAGAGAAACAGTTCGACTCTTTGAAGCTAAGACAGATGTTATTTTTTTTTAGCTAGCTAATTTGGTAGCCTGGGGGAGGTGATTCCATGAATGAACATCTCAGAGTTCAGCCCTTCCTCCAGGCCATCTCCTACAATCAGGAAGCTTGGAGTAGTCTGGTGAATGGAGTCACCCTGTCACAGAACTGGTGGCAGTCTATCTCCTTGCTCTATTTTCAGAGAGAAACTTCCTTTGGCTTGGGTTCATTCATTTCTCTCAAGGTTTGTTTTTGTTTTTGTTTTTTGAGATAGGATCTCCCTTTGTAACACAGGCTGACTTAGAACTCTGTAGCCCAGGCTGACCTCAGTCTGTATGAAGCCCAATAGAAAGATCGTGGAGCAGGTGGTTGAAGAAACCTTGTTCTGCATCTGCCACACTGGCCTGAAGATAGTATTAAATCCTCCAATGTGCTTTGAGTGGGTAAGAGTCCAGAAGTTGAATTAAGTGCACTGGAGAGGAAGGGGCTGGTATGCAGGCCCCCTGGGGAAGGTACAAGGAGGGGCTGTTGAAGCCAAAGGCTTCGGTAAAGTCATCTAAGTGTGTTTGGTTCGTATTGGATATTCTTCTAGAAACAGGAAAATGGCCTTGCAGCTGAGAACTGGTGTGAAGGTGCAGGTGACTGGGGAAGTGACAGTGAGGAGGCGCCTTGGCCGCCACTCACCTCAGATTTGGGAAACAATTCTCATGGTGCCAAAGCTGTAGACTGGACTTCGCAGCTCCAAGCCCTCCGCCTGCAGGACACTGGCCTGGGTGCTGTTGACCCTGCCCCTCCCGGGGAAGGCCTGTCCCTCCCTTCTGCAGTGCCGCAGTTCCAGCCCTTCTACATCTGTGTTGCTGATGAGGATGATTATGGAGACTTTGTGGGCCTAGATCATGCCCAGAGACTTCTGCAGGATTACCAGCAGAGAGAAGGGGTCTGCATGGAGCAGCTGCTTTCCCAGAGGTGAGAACTTGCTGCAAGGTTGAGAGGGGGTGTGGTCAGGAAGCTGCTACAGTGGCTATTGTTTCTCCTGATACCTGGCCAGAGTTCTAGAGAGAATGTGTGTGATAGGTCCATTATACTTCTCTTGAATGAGAAAAGGAGGCTCAGACCCTGGATCTCTCTGTTAGCCAGCTGCATTAACTTGCAAACATGCAGCTCTCTTAGGTGCCCTCCAGAAAATGAGCCAAGATGAGCAGTGGTTTCTGCTTGCTGCTTTCTGTTTTGTTTGGAGGTGATAGGATCGAGTGTTAGGCAAGTGCTTTACTACTGAGCCAAATTTCCAGCCCCTGTTCTATTTTGTTATTATTACTATTTTGTTTGTTTGTTTATTTATTTATTTATTTATTTGGTCTTTTTGAGACAGGGTCTCTCTGTAGCTCCAGCTGTCCTGGAACTCACCATGTAGACCAGGCTGGCCTTGAACTCACAGAGATCCACCTGCCTCTGCCTCCCAAGTGCTGGGACTACAGGCGTGCGCCACCACGCCCGGCAACTATTTTTATTTTATAAGTGTATTGCCTGCATGTTTGTAAGTGCACCTGTGTTGTGCAGTGCCTTCAGAGGTCAGAAGAGGACGTCGGATCCCCTGGAACTGGAGTTGTGGATGGTTGTTAGCTGTCATGTGGGTGCAGGGAACTGAACCCGGGTCCTCTGCAAGAGCAGCCAGTGCTCTTAACTGCTCAGCATCTCTCTAGCCCCTACATTTATGTGTGTGTGCCTGTGTACATGCATGTCTGGTGCACATGTGGAGGTCAGAGGACATCTTGTGGGAACGTGCTCTTTTTCCACCATGTGCATTCTGGGGATTGAACTCAGGTCATTAGGCTTAGTGGCAAGTGCCTTTACCTGCTGAGCCACCTCAGAGGCCTTGTTCTGTTTTTGAGATAGGGTCTCATGTAGCTCAGACTGGCCTCAAACTCTCTTTGTAGCCTCAGATGACTTTGAACTTCTGATCCTGCCTCCACCTTCTGAGTGCAGAAATTTCAAGTGTGTGCCACCATGTTAAGTTTTATATAGGGCTGGGGAGTGAACCCAGAGCTTCATGATGCCAGGCAAGCACTCTACCAGCTGAGCTATATCTCTTCTGTTTTTATTTTTATTATTTTAAATTTTTAAATGAATGATTAGTGTCTGTGTGTGTGTGTGTCTCTGTGTGTGTGTATTACACATGCATGCCATGGTGTATGTGTGGAGTTCAGAGGATGATTTTTGGGAGTCTGTTTTCTTCCACTCTAGATTTTAGGGATTGAACTCAGGTCTTCAGGATTGGCAGAAAGTGCCTTTACGTGCTGAGCTGTCTTAAAGCCCTCTTTTCTGTTTTTAAATGTCTTTAAAGCAGAGGTGGGTCAGTTAGAAAAATGCTATTTGTGTATTGACTCCAGAACTGACCCAGGGTCTGAGACCATTTCAGATTCTCAGTTCTCACTTATAAAATGGGAATGATAGCTATCTGTCTTCTATTTTTATGAGATGATTTGGAGAGTCAAATGAGAGAAAGCTCTAGAAAGACTTTATAAACCAAAGCACTAAAAAAATAAGAATGTTCATTGTTGCTACTGGACTCACAGAAGTAAAGCAGGATTTTTGTAGCGGTGATGTGCTCTCCACGAGAGCTGCTGCACTCGCGGGCTTTTTTCAGATAGTGTTCAAGGAGAGAGCTTGACAATGCTGTGTGGCTGTGTGCAGTTGTAATCCTAGCACTCTGAATGCTGAGGCAGGATTACAAGTTTGATACCTGCCTGGGCTATGTGCAAGACCCTGTTTCAAAAATAAACACAGAGAAGGCTAGAGAGATGGATTACTGGTTAGGAGCACTGACTGCTCTTGCAGAGGAACCGGGTTCGATTCCCAGCACCCACTTGGTGGCTACGAACTGTCCTTAACTCCAGTTCCAGGGAAATCCAAAGACCTTTTCTGACACATGGCATTAGACCACACGGGTGGTGACAGGGGTGCCCTCACATACACACAGACAATACATTCATACACGTAAAATAAAAATAATAAATAAAATATTTTAAAAAATAAATAAATAGGCTGGTCGTGGTGGAGCACACATTTAATCCAGCACTTGGGAGGCAGAGGCAGGTAGATCTTTGTGAGTTCAAGGCCAACCTAGTCTACATAGTAAGTTCCAGGACAGCTGGGGCTACAGGGAGACCCTGTCTCAAAAAGACAAAAAATAAATAAGTAAATAAATATAGAGAAAAAACCCTTTTTGGAATTTCATACATTTTTTAAAAAAAATAAGGGCTGGAGAGATGGCTCAGTGGTTAAGAACATTGGTTGTTCTTGTAGAAGACCCAGGTTCGAATCCCAGCACCCACATGGCAGCTAACAACTGTCCATAACTCCAATTCCAGGGGATCCAATGCCTCTTCTGTCCTCCACAGGCATTGTACAACATGGGTGCACTTACCTACATGCAGGCAATATACTCATACACATAAAATAAAAAATAAGCATAGAGAAAAAAATCATCTTGTTTCCTCTTGGAAACACCCAAATCTAATCTCACGGTTTCTACTTCTCTTCAGTTCTACTAACAGTGATGAAAAATACGAGAAGACCCAAATGAACAGTGGAGATCAGATGTTTCACAAATTCATGAAGAGAATTGCTGCTTGTCAGGAACAGATTTTGAGGTAAAGAAAGCATGTTCTATTATAGTTTACAAGTAATGCAAGTAACTTATAGTCCCAGTTATTCCAGACTGAAGCAGATTACTTGAGGCCAGCCTAAACAACAGAACAAGACACTACTTTAAAAATTTTTATCTTTATTATTTGTGTGTTTGTACATGTGTCTGTAGAGTCCAGAAGAGAGTGTCAGATCCTCTGGAACTGGACACAGGTAGTTGTGAGCTGCCATGTCAGTGCTGGAACCAAACTAGGGTCTTCTGCAAGAGCCACAGTCACTCTTAACCACTGAGCCATCCCTCTTGCCCATGAGACACTGTTTTTAAAAAGCAACACTGATGGGGGCTGGTGACATGGCTTAGCAGGTAAAGGTACTTGCCACCAAGTCTGATGGTCTGAGTTTGATCCCTGAGACCCATATAGTGAAAGAAGAGAATTAGCTCCTTCAAGTTGTCTTCTGACCTCCACGTGTGTACTGTGTCACTTGTGTGTGCACATGCAAATACACATGCAGGCACATGTACTAAATGAATTAAAAGTAAAGAAATAGGGGTTGGAGAGATGGCTCAGCAGTTAAGAGCACTGGCTTCTCTTGCAGAGGACCCAGGTTTTGTCCCAGCACCCACAAAGTAGCTAAAAATTGTTGGTAACTCCGGTTTGAGAGGATCCGATACCCTCTTCTGATCTCCACAGGCATTGCATGACATGTATGCATTAACATACATGTAGGCAATACAATCACATGTCTAAAATAAAAATAATAAAATATTTTTTAGAAGTAAAGAAATAATGCATGTTAGTTTGGAAAACAGGAAGTATAATGATAAACCAAAACCTTCAACAGTCTTCAACACACAG